TTCGTCTAAAAGAGATGACCCACTTCCCAAACTCTACACAACATCTGAGAATCACAATCCAGGATGCTCATGTTAAAAGGGAATTTAGCCTTTAATTTGTGACTGGTCCAGTCACATGCCCTGTCTAACCTCGTTATCTTCTTGTTGATTCACTTACCTGATCAGCTGTAACTCCTGTTCTATAAGCTTTAAAATCATCCTTCTAAAATACTGCATAACTCCTTAACTGTGGCACTATGAAGGTATTTTGTATCATGCATGATACTAACAGCAATTTGTGGCCACTTCTTCAAAGGGAAAGCAATTTAAGATTCTTCCTATGCAACAGAATTAAGAATATGCAGATTTTGTAAGAGGAACAATGACTTCAGAGCTTTTGAATCTAGGAATGAAAAGGTCAATTTGGGAAATGCCTGGATGATCTGCTACTCTCCTATACTGCTGGCGGTATTGGAATAAATGCTCTGGTATGAGTTAAAAAATTTTTTTGGGGGAAATGCCTTAACTAACTCAGAGTGCCATAACAAAATGCCATAGACAAAGTGGCTTAACCAACAGAAATTTATTTTCTCCTAGTTCTCTTAAAATGGAAGATCAAGACCAGGGTGTCATCATTGTTGGGCTCTGAAGAGAGCTTGCCTCCTGGCTTGCAGTGAAGCATAGTAATCCTTCCTTTGGAAAACTGCTGTTTGAACTACTCTGTTATTCTTAGTCTCTTATTCTGTAGGCCATCTCTGTTATTTTTAGACTGTAAAATAACTTTGTTTTTTGCTTGAATAGAAAAGATAAACTTAATTGTCTGACCTTGCAAGCTAGCCATCTAACTGTACTGATATTGATGCCAGATGTCTGTATAAATACTCAAGGTTACAGGTGTTTGTTAGATATGATATGTACTCAAGGTTACAAATTGTCTGTAAAAATAACTTACACAAGGACCTAAAAAAGATATAAAAACAGAATGCTCCCTTCTTTGGGGGTTCAGAATTTGACAGAAGTAATCTGCTCTGAACCCACGTGCAATAAAGATGACTCCTAAGTAACTGGCTCATTAAGGCGTCTTGTCCAGCTCGCTGATTTGCGATATAACAGCAGATGGCTGCCTTCTCACTGTGTACTCCCATAGCCTTTCGTCAATGTGTTCCTGTAAGACAGGGATCCCTCTTTCTCTTCCTCTTCTCTTCAGGCCAACAATCCTATCCCATGAGAACCTGACCCTTGCGGTGCTTTGAAATTCAACATATGAATTTGCGGGGGACACTTTCAGTCCATAACAGGAAAATGCTTTCCCCCCCGATTAGATCAGTAAATTAAAATTATTCTGAACTTTATGCCCAGAATAATTTTCTCAAAGCAATTTAGAAATAATAATCCAAGAAAGTTTATTTTAAAAAGCAAACCAGCGATTATTGATATGTGAATTTCTAAATATGGGCCATTATATGGAGTTTTATTAGCATTTTAGCTTAATTCATGTTATATTGATATCATGTAATTTGTAAGGCAGATTACACTTGAAATTGCAAGGATAATCAGTGTTTCATTTAATTGTTGCCTCCTTCCCTAGGCAATGTAAATGCAGATGACTATGGTAATTGGGGCGGATGGGGGAGGCAAGGATTATTTTGCATCCTTTCTGTTCAGTTGAATCCTGGAGGCTCTTAATTGGGAAAAGTGATATGTTTCTGTGCTTGTATCAAAAAGACTTAAGGTTCAGATGAATACAAAAAAATCCATAATTTCTACCACCTCTCAAATGAGAAATTTTATATTCTTACCTCTGAGAGGCTTGTTGTTCTTGTACTATCTTTTTTCACTCTAAGTTTCTTTAGATATGGTTTTTAACCAGATTTATTAGGAACACTAATATTGGGGAGTGGTGGGGCACAGTAGTACAGTGAGTGTAGGGGTGTAATTGCTCTGGGCATTGTGAAGAATGGTTAACAATGATTTATGAGCGAGGACAGTTGAGATATTCTTCCACGGGGCAACTTACGCCTTTAACTTAACAGCTTGTATGGCTTTATGTAACCTTTCAGACTTTGGTTTACTTATTTGTACTTATAAACCTGGGCAGGAAAATTAGCCAAGGTTAAGATATATATATATATATAATCTGTCTCTGATATCTTTAATGACTAAAAATGACTTTTTTAAACCAGGAGACTACATCTATTGTTCTGCTGTTATCTCAAAAAAACTCTACATGCTTTGAACTTCAATACTGTAATAAAAAAATCAATCAACTTTTTAAAAAATTTAACACCAACACATTTCCCCCTTCTTTAAAATAGAAAAAAAATGTTGCATGACTGTATGAATCCTAATGAAACTGCAGTGACAGTTTGTACTATTTTTGTTCATCAGGTGATCAGATAAAATGCTTTACAGCGCCTCTTGGATTACCTAATTACACAAAATGATACCTGTAGTAACAATGTATACTATCAATAACGAAGGATTACCAGTTGATTATAAAAGCAAATTCAAAAGCACAATTTTTTAAAACTATCACAAACTTATAGAAAGTTGAAAGTGATAGCACAAGAACCTTTTTATTGTCCAGAACTATCCTATATAATAAAACCCTAATATGCTAAGTCTCTGGTCAACCAATCAAACCATTCAACCAATCAAAGCGGAATATGCTAATGATATGCTAAGGCCACTCAACTGCTCACTATGGTGTGCACTGACCACCAGGGGGCAGATATTTGGACCAGTAGGTTAGCTCTCCTTCATGTCTAGCTGCCCTCGTACCCAGAGGCCCTCTCAACCCACTGAGGCTCTGGCACTCTGCTCTGGGCCTCTGCTGTTCCCACAGGTGGCACAGATGCCTACCTCACTCTGTTCCACTTAATGGCTTTAAGACTAAATTGTTTATTGAGGGGAGGGAGGGAGGGAAGGGAGAGGGAAGGAAAGAGAGGGAAAAAGAGACAAAATTACAATTTTACAATAAAGTATATACCTTTAAAATTCTGCAATTTAATTTTTTTTTTCTCTTATAATTTCTCAATTTCATATAAGGAAACTATCAAGTCACTCTCAGGCAATTCATACTCTATTTGAGCATACTGGTCAGAAATTGCTTTGAAAACCCCTTTAAGTAAATCTTAATGCTTGCCTGTGGGAGCCTCCTGATCTTCAGCAGAGAACACTGAGGGAGGATCTAGTCATTGGGAGAAGACTAATGATGGATTTCTGAAAAGCTTTGTTCAGGAGCTTTACAAGTATGCAATTTCAAGTGTCTGTTCAGTAAAGAAAATAATAGAGCATGGAAGAAATGAAAGATCTTTTGATGAGGGGGAAAAGCTTTCCCTTTTAAGGTTGTAGAACTGTTATGATGAAACTGACTTGAGACCTGTACACTTTCTGCTGTTCAAATATAAACTTTAACCCCAATCTGACCTCCGTGAGGTGTAAACTGCTGAAAAAACCTGTCTGCACACTTTGAGAAAATGTCCAGACGAGAGGGAGCCAAACGGAGTGAACTCAGCTTTCTCAAGTCTCTTACCTCCCAGAATGATTCCTGGTGCTCTATGGCATTCAAAAACCTGTACTGCTGTTTCCTGGCTCTTCTCCTGCTCTCGCATATTAATTTTCCTGCTTGTAAACATTTTATAGGCTTCTGCTTTGTTTCATCAACCAGACTGTTAAAATTTTGATTATAAAAACAATACATTTAATAATTATTTCATTGTGTTTGGGGGGGATATCATCCGAAATAGCTATGGGTATATAATTGTAAAATGCATGAATGAATGAATTGTAGATACAACCAATCAATTAACTCAGGTATCTGGTATTAACCATACTTTAAAAACATTTTCCATCCTAAAAGCCACCAGGTTTAAATTTTTCAAGAGAGGAAAAATATCTATTGCTCTCATTGATAAGGTTGTCACTTGTTATGAATTCTGTAATTTAAAAAAAAACAATTTTCTCATATATGTTCCCAAGTTCATATAAGAAAATATCTGTAGTCATGACATTCTGAGGCAGTTCATCCATTTATTTGCACATACTAATCAGAAATGGCTAGAGCAGAAGATATAGTTCCCCTTATTTGTAAGTTAAGGAACAATTTAAAATTTAATACTGTATTTCTACCCTGGCCCAAAGAAAATACTTCAACATCATCAGATATTGAGTACCATTAATGGAAGAGCATTACAAATCCCTTGAGAAAAATATGTAGCTTCATCAATCTTAGGGTTGGTCTGTTATTCCAACTTGCCTTTGCTACACCAGGTATCCTTAATAAGTTAAACGAAATCTTAAGAATACTGTTACTGTGTATGTGACAGACAGACCATCTCTTCATAACACGAGTTAAAGTACACCCCTCAGTGGCAGCAAGTGCCATTGGAGACAATGCTATATTTTTCCTCCTGAAGGTTAGCTCTTTACACACATTTTGAAGGGGCTAATAATAAACAGTAATATGGCATCTTGGGCTTAGATGCAACCCAAGGTGGGGATTTTATACAAAAATATTGAAAGCACAACACATATTTTGCCCCTTTCCCCCTAAATGTACTATTTTTCTATCAGTGACTACTAAAATAGTAATTGTACCAGAAAATGACTTGACTTAATATATAATTCAGAAATGAAGCCCCCTCCAATTGCTTTTCTGCTTAAGACCCTCTACTCATGCTGTGGTCTACCAGGCCAGGCATGATGTGACTACTCTCCCTCTCTCTGAGCTCATCTCTTACCACTCACTCCTCTATTTCATCACATGTTCTAGCCCTTCTGGTCTCTGCCTGCCCCTAGGACAGGCAAGCCAGTTTCTGCCTTTGTGCCTTTACTTTTTAAAAATATATATATATATATATATATATATATATATATATATATATATATATTTATTTCAGAGAGGAATGGCAAGGGAAAGAGAGATTGAAACATCAATGATGAGAGGAAACCATTGATCAACTGCCTCCTGTTCGCCTTCTACTGGGGATCCAGCTTGCAACCTGGTCATGTGCACTGACCTGGAATTGAACCAAGACCTCCTGGTTCATAGGTCAATGCTCAACCACTGAGCCACACCGGTTGGGCTTTGCCTTTGCTTTTGCTTTCTGTTTGAATGTCTGGAAGCTCAAAGAACGGCCTGGTAGATATGAAGGGGGCGCACTCAGTCACCTGTTTTTTTGTATCAGCTCCTTCCATTTCAAATAAATATGTACTGTAAATAAACAGAAAGGGATTTTTATGCAATATCATTTTTTAAAAGTCCTTCAAACTTCTTCCAACCTATTGCTGCCCCCGTATAGAAAAAATGGAAGCTTTTCAATTTGTCTAAAAGCTCTCCGATTTCTCCACCCAGCCAGCTCCGCTCAAATGCCACCCCTTCAGAGAGGAATGTCATATTCTTTTTCACCTTAGTACCCTTTTCCTTTTCCTATGTTTTATTTTCTTCATAGCACTTGTAATTGTCAGAGATGAATTTATCTTCATTGCTGTGTACCCATCATTTGTATTTTCCTGGGAGATTGTAAACACAGTGAGAACAGGAATTGTTCCTGTTTTTTTTCCCCATATCATATTCCCAACTCTTAGAGCAGGTGTCTCTCAAACATCTATTTGTTGAGTGCATAAATTTCTTTGCTTGACAAAATTGGATACTTGGCCCAAATTCTGAACCAGATGACTCTAGCAATTATATTTGCTAAATAAATTGTCATATGACAATTTCAACTGCCCCTATAACCAGTATTTATTCAGAATATTTAAATCTTGCTCTATTTACAATAGGACACCTTTAAATAAAAGCAAATGAATAGGCTGGAAAACACAAGACTGTATTTATTAGAACTCTACTTTTAGACCCAATTAATCAAAAATAGAAATCATCAATTCTCCATCCTTTTCCCCACGCCTGCTGAATGGCTCTACCAGTTGCCTCATTCATTGCTCAAGCTAGAAATTTGGAAGTCATCTGAGGTCTACATAGCTCCATCTCCCTCATCTATCCCACATTCAAAGACTCATTGATTGTGCTTCCTAAATATATTTTCTGTCCATTTGCAATGGCGCCCACTCATGTTCTGATTTCATTATGTCTCAACTAGTATGCACTCAATATATTCTGTTGAATTTGGAATATTCTCTATTTTGACTATACATTTTTTCCTTTAAATTGTAGTTTAAGTATCTCACCTTTTTGTGATATTTTAAAGGGTAATCATGCTAAAAAATCAAGGAATTGTTTAATAGTTCTAAAAAACAGTTAAAAAGAGAAAAAAATTTAGGGTACTTTTCATGGCAAAGCAGACTAAATTTTAAGTAATATTGGAAGACAATAATAGCAATATGGAGCTAAATGCATTGTGGAAAATTCACATTGTTCAAGTGGTATAATTAGGCAATTTCATAGATAGAGCTATTGCTTATATCTAATTAGGATCAACTAATTTGCTCCAAATTATGTATTTTTTTTTTTTTTATCAAAGAAAGCAATCTTGAGAGTTCTAGATATTTATGGTTTTAATTATTTTCATTACTTGCTCTTCTGGCAGATCAAAAGGGATATTTGAATATTTCTGATGTAAAGTAAATATATAGTAAATAGTGGACTAGTTGAAACACTTTTTTAAATTTACATGCAATGAGTTGAAAAACCCATTATTGTTATTTTAATTTTTTTTGAAATGTACAATGAGGGTTATTTTTTTTTAATGCTGCACACCTAATACAGTGATCATTCTCTTATTATGGACAAAGACATCGATATAAGAGCACAAAAAGATTAATATCATTTTCAGCAGTTGATTTAAAAAAACAAGTTGTTGTGAAAAGAAACGCTACAGTCTACAAGTTAAGATTTGTTGTGCCATATAATGGAATTTGACAAGGCTGAAAAGATTTCAAGTCCTAATGAGTACTGTATGAATGCTAACGGAAATACCGTGGGGAACGGCAGCGCTTGCCAGAATTGGATTTGGAAGCAACAGGAGTAATACATCCTGGCAACCGGGGTCTGCTTGTTTAGAGTTTGAGGCTTGAACAACATTATAAATAAGACACTCAACAACATCGCAGTTCAGAATCAATACATTTTATATTCAGCTTTTCAGAACAACTGGTTCTCTTGATCTGCCTCTGAGAACACAGTGTTCCTTAATATTTCCTTCTTGACCCTCTGCCCTCTGGCTTCCTTCCCTTTCTCTCTAATCACCTCCTTATTGCTATGTCTACCACTCTTGTCTCTTTCCAGTCTCCTCTTTGCTCATTTACTCCTGCTGATCACTACTTCCTTCTGGGTTTCTTAGGCACATATTTCCTCCTTTCCTTCTTGCTATGGTGGCTATCTTGTTTCCTGAGTTCCTCAGCCAAGTCCTTTTAATTTGACTCCACGCCTCTGAAATTTCCCTCTCCCTACAGCTAGCTCATCCATTGACATCCTCAGGAAGCCTCTGTCCAAAGGTTTCTTACCTCAAACTCCAGCATTTACCATTTATTGAGCAATCACTAAGTGACAGGCAGTAGCACAAAGAGTTTCATATAGATGATCTCATTTATATGCCACAAGAACCCAGTGAAGTAGTTATTATGAACCTTTTATTTTGGATGAAAAAACTGAGTCTCAGAAAGGTTAATTATTTTGTGCCCAATTTCTCATGATTGATAATCATCTATGGCTAGGATTTGAATTGAGTCTCACTCTTACACACTATGGAATATTGACCCCCAATTCGTTAAGCATTCATATAACAAGACTTGCCCTGACCTTATTCTGTCATTTTCTTAATTTTCACCTCATTCATAAGACTTCAGTTTCTATCTTGTACTGTATATCTGGTGACTGGGTTCCTCTATTTCTGAGTTTCTGCACTGGAACCCAATTACTCTTATTCCTCTTTGCCTAGCCAAGAGAGAACAGGGGATTTTGGAAAGAAAAGGACATGTGATATCTAGCCTTTTTTATTTTCATTTTTTCACATTCCAGGTGTTTGACGAGCAGAGTCCTATCCTATAATGGCATTACAAGGTCATGAACTAATACATGTTGGCTCATGACTCAACGGGTCAAGTTGGGGAGAGGCTAGTGCTGAACTCTTAAAAGGAACCAGTTTCAGTCTCATCACCAGTGTCACCGGAGCTTTGAGACAGAATATGTCACCATGGGTGTTGTTAAAACCCCTTCTCTTCCTCATCTTTTCAGTTTGTTTCTCACGAGCCAAATTTCTTCTCTAGTTTGAGGTCTTACTTTGGGCCTTTGCCATGCTACTGGCCAGCTCCCTCTCTCTGGTTTCCTCTTGATCTGTCACTCTGATTATATGGTTGACTTTGCCATTCCAGTTCCTTTTTTGGCTGTCTGTCCTCACAGGAGCCATGAGTTCAAACCTATCCACCCTACAGGTGTTTTGCCTGCATTTGTGAACATCAGTGTTGCAGAGCCTTCTGCTTGCCCTGTCCTCCCTACATCTTCCTCATCCATGGGCAACCCTTTCAACACTTAGCTTCAGGCTACCCTATACCATAAAGTCAATAGGGCCAAGTTTTTATAAGAATACAGGCCTCTATTCAACAACCATTGAAATTTGTGAATTTTCTAGGGTCTTAACTTCTATCTTTTCATTTGCACAAATCTCCCTAGGGACTCATTTTTTTCTCATACTTTTCTTATGACTTCCTCATCACTTCCAAAATCTCTCCAGCATTGAGCGTCTCTTCTGAAATCTTTTGCTACTCTGAGTCTTTTTATTCTGTGTAAAAGGGATCCATGGGTATATTTCTTGCTTGCTTGCTACAGCTTCTGAGCAAAAAATAAATTAATTAATAAATCAAATCAAATCACAGTATCAGCTCTGATTTCTCAAATGCATTCATTCTTTTTCTTTAATATGAACTTTATTGAGGAATAGTACACATACAATAAAATGCACTCCTTTTAGGTGTACAATTTGATGAGTACTGACAAATGCAGATACCTATAACAAGCACCTCAGTTGGGATATAAATCAAGTCAATCTCCCTAAGAATTCCATTCTTCAGCTTTGCAGTTAAACCCTCATCCCCGTGTAGTCCTGGCCCTAGGCATTTACTGTTCTCTTCTCTGTCACTAAGGTCTAGTTTTGTCTGTTTCTGACTCTGATATAAGTAATCTAGAATGTATTCTTGTGTTTGGCTTCTTTCATGTCCTGTAGTATTTTTGAAACTCATCAATGATATGTGTACCAGTAGATTGTTCCTTTTTGTTGCTAAATAGCACTTTACTGTTATTATCTAACATAGTTTGTCATTCAGCTGTTGATGGATATTTGAGTTATTTCCAGGTTTGGCTATTTCCATTCTCTCTTCTCCTCTACTCCATTTTTTCTCTCCCCTTCTCTTCCCTCCACTTTCCTCTCTCTCTCTCTCTCTCTCTCTCTCTCTCTCTCTCTCTCTCTCTCTCTTTCTCTCCCCCCCTTCTCTCATTTTTTCATTTAACTTTTTATTTAGAGATCATTATATATTCACATGCAACAGTAAGAACTTATACAGAGAGATCCCATATACCTTTTATTCATTTTATCCTAGTAGGGCATAGGGAATATAGTCAATAATATTGTAATAACTATGTAAGGTGTCGGGTAGGTATTGAAAACATCAGGGGAACACTTTATAGTATATGGTTGTCTAACCACTATGCTGTACACCTGAAACTAATACAACTAATATTGAATGTAAACTGTAATTGAAAAATAAAATTAAAAGAACTATAGTAGAGTATTGCAATGAGGATATTGTCATTAAAATATTGAAGGTATATAACATTTTCATTACCACAAGGGTCCTTTATGCTATCATTACATAGTAATATCTACTTCCCACCCTCTCACACTCCTTCCTTGATCCCTGGCAATGGCTAATCTGTTCTCCATCTCTATAATATTCTCAACTCAAGAATATAATGTAAATGGAATAATACGGCAGTATTCTTTTGAGATTTTTTCCCATTCAGCATAATGCTCTGAAGATTCATCCAGGTCATTGGCTACATTAATTAATTGTATGTATATCTTGCACCCTGTGATCTTGCTGAACTCACTTTATAATTCCAGGACTTTTATTTTAGGTTTCTTGGGCTCTTATACATGGGCAATCCTATCATCTACAAACAGGGAGACAGTTTTATTATGTCCTTTTCTATCTGTATGTCTTTTATTTGCTTTCCTCACCTTACTACACTGACAAGAACTTCCAGCACTTTGTTGAATAAGTGCAGGAAGAACAAAACTCTTTGCCTTGTTCCAAGTCTTAGGGGAATAATATCCAGTCTTTTGCTATTAAGTACAATGGTAGCTGTAGTTTTTGTTTGTTTGTTTGATTGGGTTTGTTTCCTTAATATATGAGCTTTATCAAGTTGAGAAAATTCTTCTCTGTTTTTATTTCTTTGAGAATTTTATCATGAGTAAATGTTATATTTTGTCAAATGCTTTTTCTTCATCAATGATACTATCATGTGATTTTTCTTTTATAGTCTGTTAATACTAGTATAATGACTATATATATATATATATATATATATATATATATATAT